TACTTCATCAGAATGAACATCTTAACTGCCTAAAATAGTCTTACTTTAGTTGTACTTGAAAGATAATTGATATCTTGACTACTTTGAGACTCGTATCTAAGATACCAGTCGAATCACCCAGACAAACAGCTAGGCTGCAGTGATTTTGACTACTTTTCTTGACTTTAGTGGACTGGATTGAGTGGTGTATAGAAGATAGAATGGCATGAGCATGGTTGCTTACTACAGTAGTCTGTCTATAGAGTTGTGTCGTTATTGAATTCTTCTTGCTTTAGTTGTACTTCATCAGAATGAACATCTTAACTGCCTAAAATAGTCTTACTTTAGTTGTACTTGAAAGATAATTGATATCTTGACTACTTTGAGACTCGTATCTAAGATACGAGTCCAATTACACAGACCATCAGCTAAGCTGAAGTGATTTTGACTACTTTTCTTGACTTTAGTGGACTAGATTGGGTGGTGTAATAGAAGATAGAATGACATGAGCATGACTGCTTACTACAGTAGTCTGTCTATAGAGTTGTGTCGTTATTGAATTCTTCTTACTTTAGTTGTACTTCATCAGAATGAACATCTTAACTGCCTAAAATAGTCTTACTTTAGGTGTACTTGAAAGATAATTGATATCTTGACTACTTTGAGACTCGTATCTAAGATACCAGTCGAATCACCCAGACAAACAGCTAGGCTGCAGTGATTTTGACTACTTTTCTTGACTTTAGTGGACTGGATTGAGAGGTGTATGGAAGATAGAATGATATGAGCATGACTGCTTACTACAGTAGTCTGTCTATAGAGTTGTGTCGTTATTGAATTCTTCTTACTTTAGTTGTACTTGAAAGATAATTTAAATCTTGACTACTTTTCGACTCGTATCTAAGATACCAGTCGAATCACCCAGACAATCAGCTAGGCTGCAGTGATTTTGACTACTTTTCTTGACTTTAGTGGACTGGATTGAGTGGTGTAATAGAAGATAGAATGACATAGCATGGTTGCTTGTTAGTCAGTCGATAGAGTGATTGCAATGACAGTCTCAATCTCGACATGGTCGATGCAAGATCAACCAAGAAAAAAGGAGTACTGTACTGGAATAGTTGAGTAGAAATGCTTTACGTAGCCCTCTACCCTTGTCTCCACTACTATTGAAATTGTTAGTGCACATGTTACCAGCAAAACACAAACATCCGCATACTTACTTCACCACTGGTTTTATTGCCATTTTTTTGGCTCATTTTGATTCAGTAAAGGACCAAAGAAATCAATCAATTGCTTGAATTGGAAAGACGAATCCACTCCTTTTCTCCTAAGTAGTCTTCAATTGAACAGTAGCTTAATCCACTGACTGTTTTACTTGCCAATGTCTACCGGCAATGGCCGCTGGTCGGTTTATATACGTTCGGCTTCGGGTGAGTTTGGTATTAGGCCAAGGGCCGACTTGACGAAGGGTGTGTGACTGTGAGGTTACTGTTCCATTCAAGTCATACTGCTAGTCAATTTGGTAGATAATTGTTAGCCGATTGTCGATCGTGAGTGGATAATGGACGAGCGAGAACGGTCCCCCCCTCTCCATCGTCTATATCGTGTTCCTTTCATGCGTTACGACAACTGGATTGAGTAAGCAACAACGCACAGATGGTCAATGCGTATCACTCAACCGTAACGGTTCGTTACAGTACGGAACGGATCAACATCGATGATGTAACATGAGATCAGTCATGGCGATTGCATTGATTTATAGATGGCCATTTTCTATCTTGTCCATGGATTGGATCGTAATTATGACAAGAATCGGAGATGATGGAATGGATAATTCATTTTCTGCCTTGTCTATGCTATTGCTAGTTGTTACAAAATGACTTGTGACAACGATCAAAACCATGGATGAGACAAGAATCGTTGATGATGGAATGGATAATTCATTTTCTGCCTTGTCTATGCTTTTGCTAGTTGTTACAAAATGACTTGTGACAACAATCAAAATCATGGACGAGACAAGAATCGTTGATGATGGAACGGATCAACATCGATGATGTAACATGAGATCAGTCATGGTGATTGCATTGATTTATAGATGGCCATTTTCTATCTTGTCCATGGATTGGATCGTAATGATGACAAGAATCGGAGATGATGGAATGGATAATTCATTTTCTGCCTTGTCTATGCTATTGCTAGTTGTTACAAAATGACTTGTGACAACGATCAAAACCATGGATGAGACAAGAATCGTTGATGATGGAATGGATAATTCATTTTCTGCCTTGTCTATGCTTTTGCTAGTTGTTACAAAATGACTTGTGACAACAATCAAAATCATGGACGAGACAAGAATCGTTGATGATGGAACGGATCAACATCGATGATGTAACATGAGATCAGTCATGGTGATTGCATTGATTTATAGATGGCCATTTTCCATCTTGTCCATGGATTGGATCGTAATTATGACAAGAATCGGAGATGATGGAATGGATAATACATTTTCTGCCTTGTCTATGCTTTTGCTAGTTGTTACAAAATGACTTGTGACAACGATCAAAATCATGGATGAGACAAGAATCGGTGATGATGGAATGGATAATTCATTTTCTGCCTTGTCTATGCTTTTGCTAGTTGTTACAAAATGACTTGTGACAACAATCAAAATCATGGATAAGACAAGAATCGTTGATGATGGAATGGATAATTCATTTTCTGCCTTGTCTATGCTTTTGCTAGTTGTTACTAAATGACTTATGACAACGATCAAAATCATGGATGAGACAAAAAATTCCTCTTGATCATCAAGGAGAATTGGTCAATGAGCCATTCTAAATATTGTACTGTAAGAAAAGAAAAATGACGGCTAGATTCATGATCATTTGACTCTTACGTCGATGCTTTGGAGAGAGCTACATGGTGTCTGATTGAGAACTACTATATCTAGCTATGGGAAGACATTGTTGTAAGATTTGTCTTCAACAGCCCTAGTAAGAAGAGGAATCGAAGTAATTTCTTACTTTTGACCTCGGTCGAGCTAGCTGCCTTCAATTCATTGAAGCGATTGATCAACTTAACACCATTACGACGGTGGCCGATGGAGGCTAGAATTTGATATAATACTCTAGACACGGCTAGATGAATTATTATTTTACTCTACGTCGATACTTTGGAGAGAGCTTCAAAGTATCAGAACTACTGTATCTAGCTGTAGGAAGACATTGTTGTTCGCGTTGTCTTCAACAGCCCTAGTAAGAAGAGGGATCCAAGTCATTTCTTACTTTTGACCTCGGTCGAGCTAGCTGCCTTCAATTTATTGAAGCGATTGATCAACTTAACGCCATTACTACGATGGCCGATGGAAAGCAACAATTTGATATCATTCTCCAGGAGTAGTTTAGCACTAGCACAGCAGTACTGTTGACAACAAGGTGCCAAGGTGGATTAACTTGCCGTTGTCAACGCATTACTGCCAGACTGCATCCTATCCAGCAGTCTAGGGAGTCTAGTAGTAGACGGTAGTGTGTTTCTTCACTTGCTTACTTCTCATACTAAAGCTCATACTGCATACCGGAAATAAGCTGGAAGGCAGTTGATGCATTGCAGCTGCCATAACTTGGGATTGGCGGAATAACTGAAGGAAATACTCTATTCTTACTATTACTAATATCACTTAATACGACAAGTAGCAGCTAGCAGCTTGAATATTACGCTTTGCAGCAAATCCTTCATTATTTTACACAGCTTTGGACCTATTGGAAACAGGTGTGGAGTACTTTTTGACTGGTTAGCCTACTTGACATAGACTTTTTGCATTTGGAAACAGCTGTGTAGAATCCAATTGTAGCTCTCTTTTACTCGTTGCAGGACTGTTGGGTGTTGTTTTGTTACTGATATACCGCAGCATACAGATATCAGTACCAAATAGGATTGAACATTGCCGGAAATCCCTTATTTGACGTGTCTATACACGGCCTTTTGCTCTTCAAAACCAGGTGTGTACAGTAGCATCGAGCTGTTGTGTTGCTATGTTTCGGAATTGTTTCCATGACTAGTATATTATACGCTATGTGTTACTATGGCTCATTTTATCATTCACAAGTATATTGGATAGTGATTTAGAAATGAAGATGAATTATTTCCATGACCGTACATTAGATACTGATATAGAAATAAACATAAATTGCTTCCATGACCGTATATTCGATACTGATATAGAAATAAACATGAATTGTTTCCACGACTGTAAAGTATATTGGATAATGATATAAAAATGAACATGAATTGTTTGCATGTCTAGTACATTATACGTGCTGTGTTATTATGGCTCATTTTATCGTTCACAAGCATATTGGATAGTGATATAGAAATGGATATGAATTGTTTCCATGACCGTACAGTACATTAGATACTGATATAGAAATAAACATAAATTGTTTCCATGACCGTATATTGGATCATGATATAGAAATGAACATGAATTGTTTGCATGTCTAGTACATTATACGCGCTGTGTTATTATGGCTCATTTTATCATTCACAAGTATATTGGATAGTGATATAGAAATGAATATCAATTGTTTCCATGACCGTATATTGGATAATGATATAGAAATGAACATGAATTGTTTCCATGACTAGTACATTATATGCGCTGTGTTATTATGGCTCATTTTATCGTTCACAAGCATATTGGATATTGATATAGAAATTAATATTGCAGTCAATCTTTGATCGCCTTGGCACAGCCTTTTATCGTTGAGGAATAAGTAAGTACTGAAGTATCGAGCAGTCTCGTTGGTATTTTGTTTTCATTATGACTGATTTATCGTTAGCTAGGATATATTCATGTACAAACTGCATTCGTGGACGTTGCAGCTAATCCTTCGTCTTTTTTTACATATCCTTTTACCTATTGAAAATAGGCGGCATCGCCTGTAATATACCTGATACAGGGTACAGTACTGCTTTCTTCCCAACTGGCTACGATTAGAATGAAATACTCTTCCTCTGGTCACGTTGAATAGAAATACAATACTGCACCTATGGATGTTGCAAAATCATGGATGCAAACGGATGATGAAGGGGATAGCTCAGATTATACCATTGATGCAAGCAGCAGCGGCACTAATCGAACCACCGGTGCAACCCAAAATCGTCGAGTGTCCATTCTTCAACAACGAGATTATTGTAAACAATTTTGTTCCCCATTAACTTCTGTTCGACAATTCCAATCCAATTATCTAAAATCCATCCACAAGACCGACCTGGACAGGAATTTACTTGATTTAGATGCCAATGATATGGCCTCAGCCATGAATTTACCTATTGAGACTGTTCAAGAATTGAGCCAAGTCTGTAGGTTGGTGTACAACTCTTATAGTTACACTAAATCTCAATACTCTACTTACGTGTAATGGTGTCAAAGCCCCATCAAAAACTGAAAGCAATGTTTGCTCCAATGTTGCATATACGATATCCATGCTGATGATATACCAAGTGTAGAAGATGTAATTTCTGTCTACTTACACGGATAGAATATAGTCATGGACACTTGGTCACCGAGATAATAAATAAAAGACGATTAATCAACCTATTTTTTTCTTTTTAATAGTGTCGACCAGTTGAAGGTCAGTTTTCAATACCCCAACGCCAGTTAAGCTCACTCTGATAGGATGTATCATAATAAAAGAGTCATCTTGTGGAGGAAATGAATTCATAGCTATCCATAAATTACCTCATCATGTTGTGCTAGTGTTGCAACTACTGTCATTATGTACCAATTTTCATTGCGCTATACTATAATTAGTAGCAATTAATCTTTCTTATACGCGTATGATGTGACAATTGACCAGTTCGCGCGCAGTAGAGATACATTCGAGTTGCGTAGAAAGTACAGTATGTAGGATTAACAAATTTTTGCAAACGATTGCAAGTTATCACTATTTCTTATGGCAGTAGTTGACTGTTGTTGAACTACCTAATATTACCAAATCTTTTACAACTAATATTTGTCACACAATACTATTTTGCCTAAAATGATCTAGTGCCCTGCAGAAAATGAAATAAGCCTAGAAGATGCATCACCAGATAACGTACCTGAAGGCGTCGAGCTTAAGGCTATGATGCAGTAAGTTGAACTTCTATATAGGATCAATCCTTTTTATCTACCTGGTCTATCTATCTGTAAGATAGTATATCACACATGGAACAATGCAATTGATGCACTCAATTTTTCTCCTACGTTAAAATGCCAACATAATGTTACTATCGATAACTTAATCTTTGCCACGATCGAATTTCATTTTATAGCCAAATCGAGGTACTGAAGAAGAAGAAGCGATCTAAAAATATTAACTACTTAAATAATAAGGTTTGACTATTAGCAGTACGAGATATAGAGAATTGGAATCTCTTCCTTTAGCTATTGAATTATTTCTCAATCCGTTATTGATAAAACCATATCAATTGATTCTAGAATCAGCCACATATTGATAGCGTTGATGCAAGAGTCTGTGATATTGAAGATGGAGAAGTCTTATTGATTGTTGCTGTTTATCATCCAATTAGGGTAAAATGAATCATTTAATATTAATCAGCACAATAAATCGGACATACCGTTTCAATTAGTGAAGAACTGTATAAAAAGTGGAATATTGTAGTTTTAAAAGCTTGATTTAACCAGTGTCACTGTAACATTCATTGACAAATTCTAAACTCTTTTCATTTCAGTTGGTAAAGAATCAGGAATATAGCGTTATTGGCAGTCAATCGCTAAGTGAATTGCGCGATAAAATCGAATGCTTTAGTGATGAAGTTGTAACAACGGAATGTAGTAGCAATCCAGATATGGTATCTTCTGAACCAAGAGCAACAGTATGTACATTTATGCTGTACAATTTTTATGTAATCTAAGCATTTTAACGATGATTACCTCTATGATCTACAATAACGATACATTCGTATACTGTCAACATAATTTTATAATTGTTTTACTTTCACTGGTAGGAAATCTCGACATCAGCCTTCTTTTTTATTGAAAATGTCTTTTACAATGATATGAGACATCTTTTATGCAAAGACTATAGCAAGTACTTATTAACTACTGTACTGGATCAATTACAGCTGATTTACCAGCTTAATATTCTATTAACCTTGAGACTCATTTCAATAAATTAAAGAGATTTAAAGAATCGACTTATTCGTTTACTTGCTTTCATAATCAGAATAATTATTGACTGGGCCAAGAAAAATAGTGAATGGGTAGACAAAGGACTTGGTGTACCATCTTCTAAATTAATGACAGAGGTGAAATTTATAGATTTGAAAATCCGTTTGGGTTATCCATATCTTTTTTGTCATCAAGGGGACTGTGAACATTTAATTATTTTTCAAGATTTACGGTAAGAAATCTTCCGACATTGAGCGGAAATACCGGCTATTTCTATGATTTATTCCCCCAGCAAAATCAGTAGTTTAAATGGTATTGTTTTTACGCCATAGATTACTTTCAGAAGGAGACATTCAAAGCAAGGCAATCTATCCTGTATCATTATTTAAAAGTCGGCCACGGCGACAAAAATGTCGTATATGTGATATGTTTATAGCTAAGTACGCATGAGAACTATTGAATGCTTTATACTTTATTATAAAACTAACAGAAAACCGTTATTAGTATTATTGATTGTCTTTTTTACTCGATACTGATTCTGTTAAGGTGGATAACTTTCAACGATCGACTAGCTTCGTCAGACCCATCCTTTTTCTGTAATAAATGTTTCCGTGCTCTTCACTATGGCGAAGACGGCTCGAAAATTTATGATTTTGAAGCCTATTCCTACGTTGATGACTATATATAGCTGTTGTACGTTTGATAAAATTTTAGCCCTTAATTAAGCATTCTATTGCTATTTCTCATTCCATAGTAGAAACAGTGATTGTAAATTATTTCAGTATCTAATACGATAGTTATTGATGTTGCACTCTAATTGCAATAAATTATTGTGAATATCAAAGAGAACATCTATCTAGTGAAAATTGAATTAAAGCATGCTTTTTTTCTCCTATTTCATAAATTAATAATGTTGCTAGATATTTATTAGCCGACACAGGCTATAATATATTTTCTATTGAATGAACGTTCAAACTTGTCTTGGCTTCATCTGGAAGCAATTATACCATTATAGAATAAAAAAGTTGTTATTATGATCTTGTTCGTATTTGTGATAAGCTAGCTTACAGTAATTAATGGAATTCAAATATTTCATGTTATGCATCGCAGTAAATTATAAGTCTAGCAATTTGATGTATTTATTGGACATGCAGCCATTACACAAATATCATGTGTTGGCGCTCATAGCATGCCAGCAGAACTTCATGCAATCAGGATCTGCCATGATTTCGTGTTCTGCTGTTACTCTCTTAGACGGTATCTCTTCATTGTGGTGTACCACAATCTATTCACGATTGTTAATCTAATTTTATTTTTAATGCTACTAAACCCTTCAAAAAGCTTAAGGAAGATCATAAGTTATTCCATAGCATAGGATGTAATTTCAACGGAATTTTATTTTATAATGCCGTGATCGACAAGCAAAGAGCCGATTCGTAGCCTTAACAAATGATATAATTTTCAATTTAAATTAATCATACGAATTTCATAGTTACAGAATGAAGAGAGGTACTACTAATAATAATGATAAAACAGTATTATACAATTCAAAATTAACTGTATAAGACATACGGCATATTATGTAGTTACGTGAAAATTAGCTACAGAATCAGTATACACCTTAGATATGCGTAGTAAATAGATTTAGCGATGACAGTTGCTAATAAACTACTTGCAACATTATTTACACAATAGATGGTTTAGCTAGAAATATAGCATAGGCAGCGATTACATACAAATAGAGTTATATCTAATAAATGTATTTTCCTTGGCCTTAGGTTTCTATTGTATTGGATACTGGATATGGATTAGGTATGCATGGACAACGCTTATATGAATTATCATCATGCATAGTAGCGAAGAGCATTACCATAGCACCTGATGGCCATCACTTTATAGTGCACTTTATGCAAGTTAAGGAGGTTGATGAAAGCGATTTGCAATGTACTTCACTACAATTAAATTTGTAACGCATTGAAACGATGTATTTAGATTAAGCGTGTCATAGAATTTCCGTCATTTCTAATTAACTATCATTTGGTTAGAGATGGAATTGCAGATAGTCCCATATTCCAGTTTCGTAAGATGAGATTGTCTACAATAAATCATACAGCGTCTAAATTCAAAGTAATATTAATCCACAATAACATTTAGGGTTACAGGTATAAAAAACTAATGCAATAAATCATACAACGTCTAAATTTGAAGTAATATTAATCCACAATAACATTTAGGGTTACAGGTATAACAAACTAATGCAGTTATTCGTAGAGATTTTGCTATAATTACGTTTTAGTATGTAAGACTCTAGCATTATTAATCCATGGTTGGGAAATTATGATAATCGGTAAGTAACACATAGAGCTTAGATTGATTAGCTTTTTAAGCGCTATTCTGCTGTAATAAATAAGTAGCATAAAATGCATTCAAGTTGTAAAGTTTAATGCTTCCTTTACTTGTATCCACCTACTAATCGTTAATGGTGATTTTCGTTTCCATTTTGAAATCGGAACCAATAGAATTGCGATATACATTGATCCGAAGTGACCTCAGTTATGAGTGTAATCATTTCAGGTTTAATACGAATCACAGGATGGATCCTATCTTGCAATTCTAACATTATTTACTTTTCGAAAAAATCTCGAAGATGATCCACTGTAGTCGAAATAGTAATGAAGGTAACTCTATCTTGATAAGGATAACTGCATACAGAAGTCGCGTAACCACAAATTATTTTAGCATACTCGAAGGCGGAAGCAGCTAATATCGAAGATTTAATATGGTTAAATCGATAAGTCGGTAGTATCTTTAATAGGACTTGATTTGCTATATTTACTAATTCGATATAAGTTTGCTGGCTGAATTGATGATAGTGATGCTGATGAAAATGAATGATATACTCGAGGAAATGTGGAGCAATTGGTGGTGATAATCGGAAATCGATATAATTGAGGATAATTATTTCCAATCGTTTCATTTCTGCTTTCTTATAATAATGCGTGCATGATGTTAAGAATTCTTCCATTTTCGGTGGCTGACATTCTTCGACCTTGCAAGCAATCATCATGCACGTTAGACCAACCAATTCGAAGCAATCTTCTGTTACTGTTACGACTTTCAAGAATCGATCCAGATAGTTGACAGCCATAAATAGCGTATCCCGTTTTATGTTGTGCTTTCGCGATAAATTAATCATAGAGCTAATTAATGCTTCTCTCTGAGTTGGCGTAATGTAGATTTGGCACTTTAGACATTGGCTAGGATGGTAGCTCTTTTCTTTCTGTTTCATAGCACGTACAATTTCGAAGCTATATAATTCAAAATCATCTTGAAATCTACAAGTTGCGGAGTTATTGCTTGTTGTTGTACTGCTATCATCGGGCTGAGCCATTTCTGATCTTATTATCTATAGTAAGAATATAGGTGTAACACACGGTGGAATAACAGCGAAACGAATAAATAATCAAGCAACTCTTCTATGTCGTTATATTTTTAAGTATAAATTAATAGCTTTGGTAAATCGTAATGGTTTTGTCGATAAAAGATTATTTCACTTTTTACCTGAGAAATTATTCTTACTAGCAGAACTACTGATAGAATTGTATTCTTGGCATGACCAATTAGTTGATAGCTTATCGAAAAGTAAGTAAATTAATAGACTATCTAACCAATTCCGCTCCATTCTTTGATATTCGTCTAATTGCTGTACACATGTAGTAGTGTGATTATAGGTTACCAATAGATGAAATACTGATTCTGATCAGCTATGCTGGTTACAATTATGCATCGAATGGGATTAGCGGCTGCTATTGACCGATTCGATTCAATTTGAAAGCTTAATTCAATCGTGAATGTTGGTAGTAGAACATCGTATGTTCTACGTATGTTCTACTAATGTTCTACTTTAACTTCCAAATACCCCAAAAGTACAATACAAACTGCTGTAAGAAGAAAGAGCGGACCTATCTCTGTCTTTGATTACCGTAGCGACGAAAATAAAACTATCAGAACATTGCTAAGCTGTTGTGATTAGTCAGCGGTAAATATTAACAAAAAGATTTAGAATACTTTTTTACTAGATGTACAGTATACTGCACAAATCAAGTACATTGGGATTTCTTTCAACACCTGCACAAATTAAGAAAATGGCCTATTAACTTGTACCATCAAACACTGATGCAAGTTGATAGTGTAGATCATAGCCAGCTAATGTGTTATGATGGAGAGATTTTAGCAACTTATGATATCATATCTACGCAGCATAATCTTACCTTCTATCCTCTTTAAGCCTGTGAAGTGATGATCGTAGTAAAGCTTGGAATCATCCCTGAATAGATGAGATAGTTATAGTCAGTTTCTTAAAGGCTGAGTCTACTCAGAATACGCTAATAAAGATCATAGGTTAACAACGCTTATGATTTGGGCATCCAGTACTTTTAAAAAGTTTCTTGGTACACCGAACCAACGTGAGCGGCGATCATCCTTACTTACCTACTGTCATGGTTTAGCAGCTACTTTAGCTTGCGATAGTTGTTAATTTGCTCTCTCTCTCTCTCTCGTTTTCTTAACTAATTTGCAGTACGGTACCTTTTAAATTTGATGTAATGTAAGCACGCTATCATTCAAGATTCTAGCCATACAAGAGGAGTGAGATTCTACAAGAGGATGCTGTCATGGACTACTAAAATGTATCGTAACAACTTATGCTGAGTAATTCATTCGCTCTACAGTTTTCTTAACTCATGTACAGTATCTTTATGTTTACTACATAAGTTATCATCCAAGATTCCAGCAGGACAAGAGGATACTGTCATATTAACTTAAATTACTAAAATATACTGTAATCGATAGCACTGTACAGTATACTGTACACCTATTGGGAAGTAGAAAAAATAGCAATATAACATTGCAATTACTTCCTTAAAATTTTCATACAGTACTGTAGCCATGCCTCTCCGAAACATGTGAGAATATTACCCGATTAACACGTGTACTTGAGTATTACAACATAAAAAAGGAAAAATATCGGACAGTTTAATGATTAATCTTGTCGGAAATAAGCTTGAAATTGAAGGATAACATAGAGATGCAATTTAACTTAATAAAAAAATATGCCGCTTTGCCTTATACTGGCATGAATTTTGAAATAAACCGATAAAAACATGTCCTTATTTGCTGCGTCGTTACGATTCGTGCCGTTAATGGCAATTTTACTTGGGTATCACAACATAAAGGAAAAATATCGACAGTTTGATGATTAATCTTGTCGGGAATGAGCTTGAAATTGGAGGATAACGTACAGATACAATTTAACTTTGTAAAAAAAAAAATACGCCGCCATACTTTATACTGGCATCAATTTTGAAACAACCCGATAAAAACGTGTCATTATTTGCTGCATCGTTACGATTCGTGTCGTTAATGGCAATTTTACTTGGGTATCACAACATAAAAAAGGAAAAATGTCGACAGTTTGATGATTAATCTTGTCGGGAATGAACTTGAAATTGAAGGATATCGTAGAGATACAATTTAACTTTGTAAAAAAAATACGCCGCCATACTTTATACTGGCATCAATTTCGAATTAACCCGATAAAAACGTGTCCTTATTTGCTGCGTCGTTAATGGCAATTTTACCGTGTCTGAGTTTAAATCAGTTGCTCTTACTAGTATAAAGGTGTTTTAATCATTGGCAAATGAGCAGTTTTGTGGTAATTTGTAGCTACATCTACTAATCGATAGGGAACATGAGTCATTAGGATTTATGAGTTAATAAATTAAATGGTGTCATAAATTGATAAACTACTCATAAATGAGTGATTACCCGGTCTAGCAGACTTCGTGGAGCACTACAGAGCTAATTCATCATTATTGAAGTAGTAGAACTAGGATTAAAATGTTCAATTACCTTTTTTCAACGTTCACTGTATCGATTACGTCCTTGAGTAGGTCTACAAATGCTCCATCAATATTGGCAACTTTTCCCTGTTATACTCGTAAGTCAAGTGTGAATCGGGCCAGGTATACTTATCGTTTAGTCCTAATTATTTATTAGAATATCTAATCAATTGAATCAAGGCTCACAGGTTATTTTTTGACCGCAAGTGCCCATACTACGTGTATATCCGCCGTAATTTTGAGTTAAAATGGATTATACCGCACTTGTTTTCGCAGTTGATCATTTCATTTCTAGAATATAGGCGATGTACTGTAGCTTGCTTCTAGATAAAAATTGATTGACAAATTATTAATTCTCTCGGAACCTTGGATCGTATTGCTATCATTTGTGCTAATCAATGTCGCTACTTTACTTGATCTAGTGCATTGATAACCTAATTTAATGAGGCATATCGGCTCGAAGCATGCCGTATAGGAGTGATTGACTGACCGCGAATTCATATCCTTTTTCAACTTGACATTTTTTTATTTCCTTCCTTATACATCGAAGGAAAATGTGAATGTCAAGCTCAGGCACACATTAACACTGTTGTATTGATGACCTCATGTCCCCTAAATGGACATGAAGGAGAGTTTCAGTCACGTTTACTCTATAGCATCGATTTATTGACGGACAAGAACGGCTATGCTTGCGTTATTCAGCTTGTGGACCATAGTAGGAAAGGAGTTACAGAAACAGCTAAATCCTACGGACCCACTGCAAAATAACCTGGGAAATGGGGATGAACATAATGTAACTAGTGGCGGTACATTGACTGTAGTCTCCTTATTGGATGTGCAGGGGGTGATTTTAGTCAGGGACTGGAATGATAACCAATTTTTGCCTTGGAAGTCATATTAGAGCAATTAGTACTGCATAGTCCCTGCAGGACTTGAAAAAGCCGCCGGAAGTCCCTAGTCTAACCTATCGAGGAAAATAGCCAGCATCGCCATCATGTAGCTAGCGGCGGTACATTGACTGTAGTCTTCTTATTGGATGTGCAGGGGGTGATTTTAGTCAGCGACTGGAATGATCACTAATTTTACCCTTGGAAGTCATATTAGAGCAATTAGTACTGCATAGTCCCTGCAGGACTTGAAAAAGCCGCCGGAAGTCCCTGGTCTAACCTATCGAGGAAAACAGCTAGCATCGCCATCATGTAGCTAGCGGCGGTACATTTACTGTGGTCTCCTTATTGGATGTGCAGGGGGTGATTTTAGTCAGTGACTGGAATGATCACTAATTTTTGCCTTGGAAGTCATATTAGAGCAATTAGTACTGCATAGTCCCACCAGGATCTGAAAAAGTCGCCGGAAGTCCCTGATCTAACCCATCGAGGAAAACAGCCAGCATCGCCATTCTGATCCATCCGTCCGCCCATATGTCCGTTAAAATTGCCCAAGATAGGAAAAACGCAAGCACTGCAGGTTTTGTCCTTCCACCCGCCTGTCCGTAAGACGATCCTATAGAAACTCACTGCAATTGGTATGAATGGACTTGTGCAAACTAACGTTTCATCTTACTATAGACTAGACCATAGAGCACCTTTTGCTCTATAGTAATGACAGTATACAGAATCTGTTGGGGCATGTTGTATAGGCGAGGGATAAGGCCCCCAATTTTTAATTGAGCTCACGTCATCAATTTTCGCCATTGGCCAGCTTATAAGAGTAGAAGGTAGCGACGCAAGATTTCATTTTTCTACTTGTTCTACATCATTTTCAAGCTTAAAATCGATATTATCCTAATTGATTAGACTATACAAGGCAGCTATGAGGACAGTGAGCCCCAACGAAATTTCTCAATTGCAGAAAAACAGCTCGAACATTCGCAATATTTGTATTCTGGCCCATGTTGATCATGGTAGGTAGGACAAGAATCATTTATTCCAATCAACTTTTACACCTTTGTACAATTGCTTCGCTTGTTGATCGAAATACTTGTTCTATGTGTTAAGAAATGGGCAAATTTTATCTGTGTCATGTTTGCATAAGTGTTTCGATGATGCAGTAACGATACGATCGACTCATTCTGTAGTAATGCAGTGTATAGATGCTGCGTCAGCGTAAACATAGTAGTCCAAATTCAGTATACTCCATGACGGCGGTAGAGAATTTTGAAAGGGTTTTTCTTCATTAAAAGTGTTTTCTATACGTTCTACAGATAGTAGTCCTACAAATAGGAGGTACTCTAAATTTTCTATGATCATATTGCACTTATAATATTCTATAGAATCTGGTATATCCAAGTTCAATGTACAGTACAATCCATGGCTGAGATGTAGTAGAACTTGAAAGGATTCTTTTCGTCTTATTAATATCTTTGCGATAGAGTTCTATTACGTACATACTAATACGGATAGATACGATGTACTACACAGTCTATTCTCCAATTTTCTATGATACTAGAGTAGTTTTGATATCCTTTGTGATCGTGACACAAGTTCAGTATACTTTAAAATGATAGCTGCATTCCTTCTCCCTTGGTATCATTTACGTATGATGTACACCATCATTTGGTATCGTTTAGCTAGGTGTACGTGTATATGTTATATATACAATCATGTAACTGCAATATAGTTACTTCGAATTTCCTAAGGTTATACTGCAGTTTAGATAGCCTTGATGATCCTGGTTTTAAGTTTAGCATACTTTGAATGGCTCTTATACGCTTATTCAATCTCCCTTGATATCGTTTAGCTATAATAGATACAATCATGCAATTGGTATTCTAAATTTCTCAGGACGATATGACATCGATTTCCTTGGTGATCGCAGTCCAAAGACATATTTAGAAACGACTAATATGCTTTAAACTTTATTTCTGTAGTATCGTTGTATACCATTTCTACACAGTCAGATTGAAACCTACTCACTTAAATCTTATATGGCCAGGCTAAAATAAGCTACCAATACACATACTGTAATTCGTACGTCGATGTACCAATGTACATGTCTAGATCAAGTTTCCCAAATTAGGCTATACAAGGGGTTACAACTGAATGAAATTGGCTAAAATAGAGAGTATAAGAAAAGGGTAATACAGGTAGAGGTAGACTTACGGGATTCATTGAGCAATTCTTTCATCCTGCAGGTAAAACTACTCTTGCTGATTCACTAATCGCTAGCAATGGAATCATATCAACACGTTTGGCCGGAAAGGTAAATCATTCACTCGTTATAATTATCAAATCGTTGTTAGACTTTAGAAAAATCGATAATATTGCTGTAAATGATTCTACTGTGGGGTAATGTTGCAATAGATGATAAATGAATTTATATCGGTGCAGGTCCGGTACATGGATAGCAGGGAAGACGAGCAAGTTCGGGGTATTACTATGAAATCCAGTGCAATCTCGTTGCATTATCCACACAGTGGTAAGAAATTTTAATCATATATTACTGCATTGATTAATGTTATATCATTATAAATCATGGAAATAGAAACTCAAAAATATTAATGAAAGGTGCTATTGGTGCTTGTTGACATTCTACATTTCTATAGATGGTGGTGACTATTTAATCAATTTAATTGATTCACCTGGGCATGTGGATTTTTCTAGCGAGGTCTCTACCGCAGTCCGATTATGTGATGGCGCAATTATTGTTGTCGATGCTGTAGAAGGTGTTTGTCCGCAGGTAAATGCGACTGATACTTGAAAAAATTTGAAAGATATTCTATTGCATGTACATAATAACGCCGGTATAATTGATAAAATGTTGCCTAAATGTAAATAAGTATAGCTTGCTATGGCTGTATTGCTTTCACTTCAGTGATGTGCTGTAATAGTACGATTTATTATCCGTTTCGATAAAATTTTCTACATTGAGTAATAATTAGAGTATGAAATCAAATAGCAGATCAGTAAGCGTACCATAGAGTGCAACATTTGTATTGATAGATTTTATAATCAGATTTCTGATCCAATTTTAATCTGTGATACATCTATCAAGATATCCTAATCATGATACCGAACCCAATACGATATATTCTCATGCGATAGATATATATTCAATTGAGGATGCAGCATGAGTTACTACTTGTATACCTATGGCTATGTCATGCAGCTATGGAATCAAAATTTGATCATAAAATGACATTGATTAGTATTAAACAGATGTTCATCTCTCTTATAAATTAGACACATGTTGTCTTAAGGCAGGCTTGGTTGGAAAGTATACGCCCTTGTTTGGTGATTAACAAGGTCGATAGACTAATAACTGAATTAAAATGCAGTCCAATGGAGGCTTACGTACGCTTGCAACAAATTTTAGAGCAGGCAAGTATATCCGTATAGTATCACATTCTTGAGGTAGATTTATTGAGTATGTATTGCATGCTGCTATTAGTCTCTTGTGATATGTCGTTTCTCACTGCTGTGCTGCATTTTTGCGAGCATTCGGATCCTGTATGTCAATCCTGCTGTTTCACGTGTTTATCTACCTATTTTGTTGAGTTACTTCATAATGTTGTTTAGTTGATGCTCATCACTCGTTGAAGACAGGGAGATAGCCAGTTGCGACGCTAGCTATTGAGTCTCGTCTGTCGTCTTTATCTGTTGGAGCTAAATCAATAAATAGACGTAATCTCGTAGCAACTTATAGTAATTTCCTAAAGTGCAGCTATTATATATGATTATAGTTTTTAAATCAAGGGATTAAAACGTAAATTTTAGGTTAATGCATTAACTGGTGAATTATTTACCGTAAAAGTTATGGAAGATTCTGAGGTAACTGGAGATATTGAGTTTAAAGTTAAAAAATTATATTTGCTTTCTTAGATGCTTCTTAAGATAACCCTTTTCTTTTAAATTCTTCTATCCCGGAATTAGATTGTTGATGAGAAAAATAAGAAGGAAGATAAATCAATGATGGAAAACGGTGAAAATGTAAATCAGATAGCAATTTATTAATTTTTGTCTAAGTAATTACTACTGTACTAAAGAGTGAAGCTATTTCATTCATTTATAAGTTATATGACTGGAGCATTGGCTTGGAAGATATCGATGATTCATCTTTGTACTTCTCACCTGATCAAGGCAATGTTGTATTCGCTAGTGCTATAGATGGATGGGGCTTCAGGTATTATACAAATAACGTAGATGTTCTGCTATGTAGGGCCTCGATAATGCCATATGGGAATAATTAATGATGCCTTCCTTACACAATAGCCCTCTTGGATTTGAAGCACCACTATAATTAATATAAACTATCATTATGTAATAGAATCTCTGATTTTGCTGCTATATTTTCCAAGAAGATTGGTGTAAGTCAAGCGATTATGAATAAGACACTATGGGGTGATTTCTACCTAAATAGCAAAACCAAAAAGATTATGAAAGGGGCTCAGGCACGTTCATGAAGTGATCAAGCGTATAATACTGTATCTTTTTATTTAGCATTATGTTGTCATCTATTTTGTTGTCAATTGGAATATAGCGTGCAAAGTCTTAAGATCTATTGATACTCTGTAGGCTAAGGCGAAGAAACCATTGTTTGTCCAAGTTATCCTCGAAAATCTTTGGAATCTGTACAATGCTATCTATATTAAAAAGTACTGAGAGATCTTTGATTTATTGATAATTCCGTTATTTGTATAACTAGCTCTTGTAACCTATTCTTAACAGTGCATGCTACGCTTTTATAGAGATAAGATCCAGTCTGAAAATATTGTCAAATCATTAAATTTAAAAGTGTCGGTCCGCGATTCAAGGCATGGTGATGCTAGGGTTTATCTTTACGCAGTATGTAGCCAGTGGCTTCCGCTATCCAAAGCGGTACTGTGTAAGTTTGTTCATTAACTTATTTCTATACATATTGTTTTAGCGCCCTAATCTTGCAGTTATTTAAATGATTACTTTGTATAGCTATGGTTTGCGATAAGTTGCCATCTCCGTGTAGTGTTAGTATCGATCGTATAGAAAAATTAATGGGTAGCACTTCGTTACAAGGCCGCTCACTATCTGCCAATGTAAAAGAAATTAAAGAAGGTATAATAAATCTAATTTTTAACGCAAGCGAAAATTTCAATCTACTAATTGCGTATCATCTACTCGTATCTGCATATTTTTAACTATTTAGTTATGCTCCATTGCAAATCTGGTGATAATTCACCCGTTATTTTACACGTAACGAAAATGGTATCTGTTGAAAAGAATTGCCTTCCTCAAAATAAGCCGAAGTATATAAAAATTGACTTATACAAGCCATGTATTAAACAAAACTTTCTGGCTCAAATGTTAATGCAATAGCACAGGTTAATGTACTTTGAAACTACTATACTTTAGGACTTTGACAATGGAAGAAATTCGTCATCGCAGAGCATTAGCTAAAGAACGTTTATCAAATAGGAACCAACAACGTACTGAGGATAAACGAGAAACAAACGTGGATAATGCCGACCAGGAACCCGTTACTACAGAGAACGAATCAGACAGTACAACTCTTAAGGTAGAGAAGAATAACGAGGACACTGCTGAAAGCCAAATAAAGAGTACGAAACAAGGGGATACCGAGGCACTTGAGGAGCGCAATCACGAATTTATCGCATTTGCTAGAATTTTTTGCGGCACAATTAGACGTGGTGATAAACTCCATATTTTAAATTATGGCAAGAATAATGCCAGACCCTACATTTCCGGTAAAGATGAAAATGTAGAAAATTCCTCAAGAAATGATATAAGTGAAAACATATTTGAAGTTGCCGATTTATACTTATGGATGGGTCGACAGCTGGAACTATTAGATGAAGTACCGGCAGGAAACATTTTAGGTTGCATGAAAATATATATATATATATAATATCATGAATAGTTTTTTATTAACTGATTGATTTCTAACATTAAGATAACCAGTTCTTAGTTTATACTTATTAAGAAATAAGAATCTAAACTTGAAAATTATGCTTAGGTATTGGCAACTTGGAAAAACATATTCTTAAATCAGCTACAATTTCATCGGCGTCTAATTGTCCTCCTTTGATGCCAGTACCATTTGCAGTTGTACCAATTGTCCATGTAGCTATTGAACCTGCTCACTTCAGTGATATAGCAAAACTCACGAATGGTTTACGCCTTTTAAATCAAGCCGACCCATGTGTTGAAACCTTAGTTCAAGAATCAGGCGAGCATGTTATCGTTGCTGCAGGTGAAGTCCACCTTGATCGTTGCCTCAAGGATCTAAGAGAAAGGTAATAATCACAATGTCCGTCAAATGTCAATCTACAAGTGTGATCGCTTTTGTGGATGAATATAGATAGTCTTCTCTTCGCTGTTGGCACTATTAATTCTTAAATATATTTTAAGCATGCACATATACACGCATTTTTGAGATAGATTTGCTCCTGGAGTGGAAATTTCTGTTTCGGAACCAATAATCCCATTCAGAGAAACAATTATTCCACCACCTCAACTCGATATGGTTAACGAACTAATTGATAGTAATGAAACCCAAAGTACTACGAGACGACAAGAACTGGATTATGACTACCCAAATTGTGAAAATAATGCCGGAACTATCACTGTGTTTACATCTGATAAGTCATGTACGAAGGATTACAATTATTAACGTCAAGATTAATTCAGCTTTATAACCCTATATAGTTGTGATTAACGAAGTATTACATATGGTTCTATTTTATTTAGGTAAATTAGTGGTAAAGGCAAAACCTCTTCCCACAAATGTTACTAAATTACTCGATGAAAGTGCAGATGTTATTAAGTCGATTGTTGGATCAAAATCTGTTCGCAAGGATCACAGCCTTTCGCCCGTTGATAGTGAACTGACAGAAGTAGCACTATTTTATAATAGTTTAGTGGAAGAATTTAATGTTGCTGGTGAAGAATGGAAAGATATTGTGGACAAAATTTGGTGTTTTGGTCCCAGAAACTATGGGCCAAATATACTAGTCAATGAAATAACGTCGTATAATAGATCCACTCTTTGGGATGTAACTCAAGATCGTCCGGTAAACGTGGAGCAGGATATGTTTAGAAAATTTGATAACAGTGTTATAACCGGATTTCAGTTAGCCACATTAGCTGGCCCGTTGTGTGAGGAACCAATGATGGGTGTTTGCTTTGTAATCAAAGAGTGGACGTACCTACCATCGATCCAGTCATCGGTATTGTTATTGTTTATAATTTAGTTTTAATGCGTAGAGCTGCAAATGTAAATGTTCATTTTGCTATCATTATGTGATACTCCCAGTCAGAAGCTCTAGATAATTTGGCATTGGAATCTAATGAAACTCATGTCGCAAAGAATGAAATTTCAAGCGCATCTGAAGGAAAAGGTAATCAGCCCTTTCAAAAATATGACTATTAATAACCTTACGGATTGCAGAACATAGCTAACCACTTATGATAATTGTTATTAGGTGCAAAATCTATCAGTATTAATTCCGGTCAACTAATGTCTGCTATTAAAAGCGGCTGTCGTCGGGCATTTTTGGCACAACCGGTTCGACTAATGGTTCCTACTTACAAATGTACTATCCATGCTACATCAGATGTTTTAGGAAAAGTATATGCAGTATTAGGCAGAAGGAATGGGCAGATTCTATCTGAAGATATGCAAGAAGGATCATCAATATTTAATATCGAAGCAGTTTTGCCGGTGGCTGAAAGTTTTGGTTTTACTGATGAAATCCGTAAGAAAACAAGTGGCTTAGCTAATCCTCAGTTAATTTTTAACAATTGGGAGGTAAATGATTAAGTTTTATATTGTCAATTTTTATTACACAATCTGTTGAATATCTATTTTTTTTGTCGTATCTATATGCGTTAGATAACCATTATAGTTGGAAATTTTTACTATTTGTCTTAGATTATACCTGCAGATCCGTTTTGGGTTCCTACAACTGAGGAGGAAATATTGCATTTTGGTGAGAAAGCTGATTCTGAAAATCGTGCCCGGTTATTAGTAGATAAAATTCGTGCACGAAAGGGTTTGATAGTTCAAAAGAAGATTGTAGAGCATGCTGAAAAGCAGAGAACTATCAAAAAGTAGGCAGAATTAGATTTAAGAACTTACAAATTTTAACGTTTGTACGCTACAATTTTGCAAAGAAGGTTGTAACGCTCGATGATACCGAACTTGATAATTAATATGATTTATAAAGGGTACTTCTTACCACTAGGTGGTTATCCTTACATATGGGCTCGCGTAAAATAATTTTATTGCTCGAAATTTTTTCAACGATCTGTAACTTTACTCTCGATACATTCTTAGTTGTATAACGGTCATAGTAGCGAGAATATCTAAGATTTATTGACTGTATATTTTAAATATAACATTTTAAAGGTGACCTATTTCATAGTAGATTGTATGGTATGCATTTTCTCGTTGTTATAATATATTCCAAAGAATCCTATAGCGAAATAATATATTAATATTATTTTTCTGGTTTATCGCCACTTTGATAGGCTTTAACATGAATAATCAACTGCATAAAGTAATGCATACCTATATTCGACTTAAGCTATTTGAAATGTCATTATAACGACATATAGACAGTTTTATGATTCAAAATATGATAGCAATTGTAGTATGACTGTTTTGACTCCCAAATTCTTGTTTACTGTATACAATGCAGCCATTCTATTCACGTACTGTAAATAGTACTGAAAATGTTACTGCTCTATCTAAAATATTAATTCTAAGTAACGATAATTAATGATAGCGTAGTCACGTATATTTATCCTATGGTGATACTACAGTAATACAAGAATTAACAATCAGATGATTGAAGTTATCGATACAGTCATTGTAACATAGTTTTTAATAAATAAACTCAATTAGAAGTTATTGTATCGCCGGTATTTAGTGACTAATTTCCAGTTGTTGCGTTACAGAACAAAGCACTAATTATGTTGAAATGGTTCTATCATAAAGAATCAGCTTTTCGATGACACCAACTAAATAGAACCCCATTGAGTGAAATAATTCGTTTATATTTAATCCTAGCTATGGATTTAAATTTACATAATTAACTGTTAATGTCTACTAGCGTAATTGATCCCATTTTTCATACTGCTATTCAATTAAACTTACAGTATACTGTATTTCGAATGAATAATAGGTGAAAAAGTAAGTAGGGGAACTCTGAAATTGACTTAAAGGATGGTTGATCAGAATTTACTTACGTAAACTAGGATTGCTAGAGTAACTGCTACAAAATAAAAGAGTATTGTATTTCGGCGCTATCATTAGAATATCCATTAGTGTCTCACATATTTATACTAATAGTTAAGAACTACCTCAAGATACTTCCTTGTTTCGAAACTTACAGATATGAATTAATTCTAACCCGAGAATATATTAATCATGCACTTATCAATCTATTTAACTTTGAATTCGGTTCTATAGCAATTATTGTGAAACACCTTGATCTTAGTATATGCTGCATTAATGGTAGCGATAGGATGTCCAATAGCGTAACCTATTAAAATAATTAAAACCTTGAGCTGAAGATATAAGTCCCATGAAATTAAGCCACTATCAACATATACGAATATTGTGCCTAATTTACATTACCTGGATCATTACAATTATCAGAATGTGTTGTAAATATTAATAAAGTTTTAGTTATAATGTCAAAGATGTCATATAATTACGTCGTTTTATAACATCAGATGGTATTGAGATGATTGGCAATTTCGATATTCAACCGTAATATATTATTCGATAACGTCCATAAATTGATTCAGATAGGAAGTACAAGTACTAAATTAAATACAATCTAGCGGTCATTTTCTATGATTTACCTATTTGCCCAATCATCTTTTCTTTATAAATTGCTCCATTTCTTCAAGCATAATTTAATTATCTGGACTATATTGCTAACAAAAGCTACAGAGAACGAGATCAGAAAGGCTCACTTTATTGCTTAACACAAAATAATGCATCTTTTAACTTTGAATGAACTTAAACAAGAGAAACAATAGTATCATTCTTCTTCGCTCTAGCTGCATTAATTGAATAAAAAGGCAATGAATCTATATAGAATTAAGCTTAGAATTAAAATACGGTAATATCAGTATGATTGAGAATAACGTCTTCATGCAAACTTGGCAAGATGATCATAAACAACAGATCGATTAAAGTAGAGTCTAATATGTGCATATTAAGAATATTGCTTTGCAAATACCTTTATAGAAAGTTAGTTGGACGCCAAAACTATTGTTTCTACCGCAAACTTGACGTCAATGGAAAATAATTGGAATGAATTCGATTAAAAATTTTCCTAGTCTAGAAATTTTGGAGACAGGTGATAGCAATAAAGCATAGCACTAAAGAAATATTAACTACGATGTCGCGTTAAAGCTCAATTGAATTAAAATTAAATATCGGGTGCTAGGGTTTCGGTGCCATACGTAACAATCCGATTTAATTTGATAGTTGATGATAAATATTTAATAGTAAGCAAATGTTATCTAGTCATCGATTTAATTGATTAGTATTAGAAAATCTACTTTTACTTTGTTATTTCAAGCATAAATTTCTAGAGGTTAAGCGATAGGAATATGGCGATGGGACAGTGTTCTCCAGGACATTACACCTTGATTGAATATCGAATCTGATAGTATTGGAATTTCTGTATTATACTAGGCTATCAATAATTATATTATCACATATGCAAGAAGCTCCGGCCAGATAGAATTTGACCTTATCTAAATCTGCCATATCTAATCAATTTTAAATCTACTACATATGTATTTATTATAAGTAATCTATTTTCAGTGATGAATACATCATAAAAGTACGGCTAAAATAAGGTGTTATGAGAAAGTGATGTAATACGAATTAAAATACGTTTTTCCAATCATCAACTACTATTTTAGCTACCGATTCTAAACAATTAATAGTGTGTAAGAATAATGCATGAGAATGATCACTAACTAGTAAGTAGAATTTATTTAAATCTGTTGTATTCAATCAATTTTAGATAGGTTGTTTCGTACTTTATAAATATGCGGCAATCAAAGTGTACTATTAAAGCACTATAAGAACTAGTACGCTTAAAGTAATGCTATTAAGAAATTAAATTACGCAATTACTGCCATTGATTTGAGTTCCAGCTATTAGGTCTAAACAATTACTAATTATTTTCCGAAAGATATTTTCAATTTGATAACTATTCTCACGATCAACTTTCATACGAGCTGCATGTTCTACATGATTAACATCATGAATTATTTTTACAGGAAGCTATTATTTCTAACTTCAAATAGGAACTATTCAAAGTTATTATATTTAGGCAATTATTGATAATCTTACTCGTAAAGATAGCACATTAAGACATAATTATACAGGTTTTTCATTACATTAGCTTATATTCAAGCTACTGGCTCTATAGTGATCAGGATTTGATATGATGATTATAAATTGATGAGAAGTACACAGCTTCCTTTGATCAATGTTAATCTATTATAGGATCAGTGAATAGAATAGTAGGTTATGAGACATTAAAAATGATAAACAAATAGATAGTAACTTATCATAATTCTTTATTATTAAATCAAGCTTTAAAAAATATTTGATATCCATGTTATATTAATCGAATTATTCATGATATGATATAACAGACTAACTATTTTCCCTTCTATTTACATCTATAAGTTAGTCTACTTATGTTGATAAATAATTATAAGATAATGAAATCTTTATTACCCATTCTTGACCTATTAATACAGTCTTTTAAGGTGAAACAAAAATTTATAGGAAAATGATATGAATTTGTATAATTGATTCCGACTGTTATTCTCATAAGACAACAATAAAACATCGTATTACAGTGAATGTTTACCATTATTTACTAAAATCTTTGAATTAATAAAGACTGGATTGACTTAGAGATATAAATTACAAAAATTAAAGCTCTCTCTCTTTTAATGCAGTCATATTTAATAAAATATGAGCAAATTGTCGGTGTCCATCTATACTTATACCAGGAAATTTGATGATTATCGTAGTTATAGAAAATACGGTACTACTTTAATCTTATTGTTTTCCATTATCCTCCGTCATCCCAAACTGAAGTCCTCTGTCTTTTATTTCAGTGATATTTAAAGTAATATGAGTAATTTATCAATGTCTCTACTTGTATAAGGAAATTTAGTGATTATCGGAAATTGTAATAGGAAATACTACTATTTTGATCTTATTGTTCTCCATCATCCCCTATCATCCATAATTAAGATTCTTCAATTGTAACTATTGATATAATAAGGACTTCTTAAAGAAGCTTCTATCATTATCTTGTTATTTTCATCATTGTCTGTCATTGTTTATGTAATCAAAATATGTTGATTATTTCAAGTTATTCAAAGAACTTCTATTTTCGTTCTGTATTTCTTCATCATCATCATCATAACCTTAAGAGGAAAAACTCTGCGAATTATTTTTGATTTTGAATTAAAAAGTTACTTAGATCATAATAGGGAATAATCTAATTAAGATTAAATAACCTTTTCGTTCTTTTAGACTACTCTACTGTAGTTATTGATGCCATTTCTCGTAATACTTGATATTTCCTTATTTGTTTAGGCAGAAAATTTGAACCAGTATATTAATAACCCTCACTGCTGTGCAGACAGTGTTAAATTTCAAGCTTATGCAACTGTTTATTTGAAAGGTAATCTATCGCTTCACAATTTATTTGTTTTCCTGCCTGTCAACCCGAAATATTTATGTTTAGATGCAAATTAGAAAATATCTAATCCAAATCTTTATATCTAGGTTTTATCAATCTATACTCAAATTAAAGTACTCGAAGTAACCACTTACGTCTCAAGGTAATCTGTTCTACAGCAGGTATACATGAGTATAGTTTAAAAACATTAAATTCAAATTCTTTTGGCTTGAGATTCTGCCTTTTAGCACTGAAATAAAAAGCATTTAATTATATCTCTTACAGCTGTAATAATTTTTCTCATTTAGAAATTGGAAATATCCAAACGTGACTGTTGGAAATTAAATTATACTGTATCTTACTGAAATCAGGCTACTTAGTTATAATTGTGATAGAAACCACGCGCAAATAACCAAATACCCTATATGCCGTTGGTGTAGAAATGGAAAGTATCAAATTCTAGCCTTCTAGCTGAAAATTCTGTGGTATCGCCCCAAAATTTAGAATATCGGATTATAAGTTGGATAGCGCTGTAACAACTTATTTTTAAACTTACATTGAAAATATCTGGTTGCTAAGGATCCTACTTTGAAATACAATTTGATTACCTCTTGATATTGATTAAAACTATTTATCTAGTATATAAATCGAAAATATCTAATTCATATCTCCTTGTTTAAGATTTTGTCATACAGTACTCAAGTAAAAAGTATTTTATTACAACTTTGATACTAATATAACGATCATGCCTTTTATACGAGTTAAAAAATAGCCAGATCTAGTTATCCAGGATTTTATCATACCATAATAATCGGGTTCTTTAGCGATATCTTTAATATTGGCTATAACCATTTACATATATACTTGTATTGAGAAAGCATTAAATTAAAAGTTACTTGCACTTTGGTAACATCTTTATTATTGGCTATAACCATTTAACTGTATACGCATAATTTGCAACTATTCAATCCAAAGTCTACCTGCCCTTGGACTCCATCTTTGATATTCGCTGTAACCAATTACTTATAAAAGTTTAACCTCAAGATTCTATTCTACTCTACTGAAATTAACAGACTGCTCGTCATTGGATTCCGTCTTTGATATTCGTTATAACGAATTACTGATATAGGCTTATTTCGGAAATATTAAATCCACTTGCTCAATATTCTGTGCTACTGTATTGAAATTAATAATCTGCTTTATTGTATCTTCCATAATAGTGTTTACTATTTGGTAACTCCAAGGAGATAAATTTCTTCTATTAAATCTCATCTACCTTGATTCTGGATCATTATGATTACTAGTATTATGAATTGCAGCCATTTTTGGCTATTTCATAATGATTATTTCAGCTGCTATAATTTTAATACTGCCATTCCACCTAATCGTCGAAGAACGGTTTTATCACCAGTTCATATTGGTTTTATCGTTATAGGTGTGATTACGCTCATTAGCAATCTTACCACCATGCTAATATTATATCGTTTTCAAGCTAGATACATTACTACGTGGACTTCCCGTTGTTTCAAAATGAGCTCTAACTTAGTTAGTATTCTGTTTGCTTGTGCATACGTTATCCCTTATAAGGGATTGCTACCCTATCTAGGAGAAAATGCTACCTTACATGTATTATTACCTTTTACTGGCATTGGTTTATGTGTCAATATTAATTTACATATTTGTTTAATTGCTATCGATAATTTCTTATCCGCTGCTAGTCCGGTACGTTATCGTTATATCTTTACTAAAGGACGCTTATGTATTTTATTGACCCTCATTTGGTCTATTTCACTAGCGGTATCATATTTGCCTTTAGCAACTTTAGGTATTGGCATACGAGAAAATCTATCTAGATTTCAATCGATAACAACGGTTCAAATGTCTATTTACTATTCTACAATTTTTATTTTACTATTTCTACTCCCTTCTGTCATCCTTATTGCTAGTTATATTAAAATTTATTTCATCGTAACACGCAGTCGATTACAATTACGTCGTACAACAACAACTAAAATGGATTATCGTTCAGCTCAAGCAATTTCCAGAATGAACCGGCGATCCACAGTGATTATTCGTAATGGTGTGTTAACTACAGGAACCTTTTTCATTTTTTGGGTACCGTTTGTTATCTGTTATTATATCTTTCTTGTTACAGACAACCGTTCTGTAGTTCTAATGCAAGCTATAGTAGCAGCAACATTGTTTGCATTTTGCTATCCAGCTATTAATCCTATCCTCTATTTACTATTGGCATCTGCAGTACGGCATAAAATACGAGATGGATGGAATCTAATGATGACTATTTCTCCATTGACATCGCGCCGTTCTACCATCTTTCGCATGCCACCAGTAGCCAATTAAAATTTGATACTGAAAAATATTGATGCAAAATTAGGCGAGAATAAGCAATTTAGTAGAAAAAGTAAAAATGACTGCGATATAAGCATTAAATAGGTTAGTTGTTTGAATATACCATACAGTGAGCCATTCTTGCTAACAAATGCAAGAACACGTTTTGGAAGCGAAAAGTGCCGTTCTAATAAGTAATATCCGCAGTAGCCGAAAGTTATGACGATATGAATATGGTCTATTCTGAAACATCGACTAAATCACGATATTTTATTATGTATATCGTCGTTTTTATTTGCTTGATTTCATCTAAAGTTATATAAAAGTTGCATGCTTGCAAACACGTAATAAGCAGCTCTCTAAGCAATTCTGAGGTTTCTTAAAGTATGCATACAACGGTGCATAAAATTTGTTAGAACTGTCATTTTCGAAGTACTCAACAACGTACCAACTGTTAGCATCAACACCGGATGAATATATGCATTAGATCAGTAATTACTCTATATGAACTGCTGTCTTTATCTCTAGCATTAGCTATTTACAAATTTTATGTATTCTTAACCAATTGGGTACGCATTTTAAATATTTTGTTTAGATACACTAATGTAGCGCTGACATATTTCTAATCGTATTATTCATCTTAAGTACAATATATGCTCATAATTGTACAGTAATTTTTCATTAAAATACAAAGTGTTTGTAAATCATTCCTTAATAAAACGACCTACACCCAATCGGAATGATCACTTACTAAATCATACCTTGTTATAGTTTTAATTTCAAATTGCAAATTTTAATAATTCCATATTCAAGTGTAGTCCTTACAGCAATGTTATACAGGCTGGTTAAGGTTTACATAAAAGCAGATTTCGTGATTTAATTTTCATGTGATTAGGAATCAACATGTATTCAAAATTTGCCATGGTTTGTAAGTTTCAAGATGTCATATATATCCAATGATTGCCCTGTGATAAGTGTTAGTCATAAAATAAATGTTAGATAGCCCAAAAGAGTTTCTGAATGTCGATGTTTATTAGTTAAATAAAATTAATGTACAATACCTGGAGGTACATTGTAACCCTTTTCCAAGCCTAATGGATTAGTGGGTGTTTTACAGTCCATGTCGGGTTCCTTTCTTAATACGGTATCAACGTCAACAGCACTAAAAAATGCTACGGACTAGAAATCAATAAATACATACATATATATATATATATATAAGTATACGGATATATGCATTATCAGAATGAAAATTAGTTGCAAATTAGTACTCTAGCTGGGTAAGATATCTTTTATTAATAAAGAGACTGGTATAATGAATTACCAAAGGCAAATCGTAGATTTTTATTTTATGCGCAAACATAGCTCTTGTTAATAAATTTGTAATTTGCAAAGCTAGAGCAGCCCGAAAGCGATCCTCACTTTTAACCAAGTAGCGGACCTAACCATATGTGAAGGTTACAGAAATATTAAGATAATCAATATAGACTTGATACAGAAATACAAATATCATGAAGTTTGAACCTCATCATGGATACTGATGCAAAATCTTCCATTAATGTTGTACTTTTCAAACAGCCATCTCATGCAGACTAATATTAGATGTAAATAATCCACAGCAGAGGATTGAACAACCCAATTAATGCGACTTGGTAAATACTAGGAGAAATAAAATTATATCGAAGTTAGATCAGCAATGTCGTTATCGTATTAATCGGTTCATTTACGCGCTAGCTGAAAACAATGATAGAACATGTCTCCAATATTTCATGCATGAAATTATCTACTTACAGCATTACCAACAACTTTAGGTTCTAAGGCTTGACTAATTCGACATTCCAAAATAGGCGTTTTAGGCTTTTCCGATAAAGCAATTGCTTCCAATGCGTTAAACATTTCTGATTCACTATTAGTGAAAGTTAAATGAAACTCTAATAAAAACACATTCCTCTGTACTTTTAGACATAATTTTCGAGCTGCCACATGCACAAAGTAACCATGTGCAGTTATTTTTCTTACCTTCCACCAATCCATTGCTTGCTTTTACTCTTAATGTATCTGTAAGGTTCATATAATAATATAAATAGAAACAACATACTGTTAATCTCACGTCATACTTTTACATACGCTTAAACATTTGTAATATGGCAAATATAATGATATTAACTATTAGTAAATTTTTTCAGCACGGATTTGATATACTGCGCAAAGTTAAGGCCTCGATAATAAAGAAGTATCTAGAGTACATTATTTCGTGCTTGCTGGTTCAGATAGTACGTTATCACATGCATACTCGTAGTAGTTGAATTAAAGCATATATTTTACATTGAGGTTATAAAACACTCACGAATCCAACTTTTTGCCCCGGAGGTGTTTACGTAAGATTTCATGGCCTGTAGTATCAATCCAGTCGTCATCGAGAATAGTATCAGGATCTAATTTCTGCAAAATCTTCTTCCCTTTGCGCGTTAATTTATATCTAAGTGGACATAAAATTACTAATGCTACAGAAACATACTTCATGTAGTAAATCAATTTTAAAGTAATCAGCTAAAGCTTACATTGTTATTCCTTTAGTAGAGGCGTATAATATTTTAGCTTTATCGCTTGCATCCTCTAGAGTCATTGAAGGATTAAATTGACGCATTAATCTTTGCGCGTAATTTAATCCTGCACCATAAATCCTGCCGTAGTTAAAAGTCTATCGGATGTAAACGATATTAGCATTAAATTTTCTGGAAATACTTAGAAATATCAATAAAATGCAGTACATTTTATAGTAGTAGTATCTTAGAGTAAATACCTTGGCTTGATCGCGCGATATGCCCACGGTTTCAGCTGTTTTACTATGGAGATCAGTACCTTGTGACTTTTTACCTTGAAGCGTCATCCATCCAATTGCAGTACAACCTCAATAATCAATTGATTGAATTATCCATCATATCAATTTTGCTAATCGTGGCACTGCTAGAATCTCATACAGTAGCTAGTACAATATTTGCATTTGTAAGTTACCATGTGTACGTCCAAAACGGGCATCAGCATATAAAGCCGCAATCCATAATTCCTGACTGTCTACATCTGCTCCGACAAAATGATAACCAGGAGGAGCTCTAATCATCGCCTTCAGTTCTGATCCAACTCTATTAGCCTTTAAAATATCGATAATGTCATAGATAAGAAATAATTCAACTCCAAGCTTGAAGACATTTCCTATTTGAAATAATTTATCTATTGTTGACTGTATTTTACTACGTGTAGCACTACGAATAAGAGTTATTAGTTAATAAATACATCACTATTATTATTTTGGTAGAAGTGGAAGATGATATTATCGAAACTATCAACTACAGCATTGGTAGATTGGCAGCAATAACTACATTATTTATTTATTTATTGCAACTGTACGAGTGGTTGGTAAATTGTAATAATTACTAATAAACATTTCCAGCACATTTCGAGTAAATTAGCCCTAACTAGAATCGGGATTGTACCGAAGCAACCTAAAGAGTTAGCTACCTTGGCGTTACTTGCTGTTAGCCATGTGGCTTCCACAGCCCTACGTGTAACAGTCCCTGCCGGTGCAACCGGTGGTAGAATAGCACCGTATTTTTGGAGTGGCTTGAATTGAGAATGGCTAGAACAATTTAATAGTAAGTGTAGATACTTAAATATAATACTACCGAAACAATACAAAGAGTTCATAGTAAGAAGAATATTTTTGGCAGCTACTTTCGAATAGAATCGGCAATTTCATCATGTTTGTAATATACGACAAATTGGTTTCTGACTCGATCATGAGCATTCTTCCAGTAACTAAGCATTAATTTAAGTTCAACTGTACGCTTAGCAATATCACTTCCAAACGAAGTAATTGTGCCATCCTCGTATTGTTTAAGGTAATCCTTTGATAATGGGCTTCCACATCTTAAGTGAGAACCATCCTAAAGATATTGTGAAAAGTTTTATACTTTAATACCATAAAACTAACATACAGTGATAGTAATTGAGCTAATCATAATCTATGCAAACCTTATGAGGTATTTTGTAGAAATCGACACCAGGAATATCGATCGTATAGGGTCCCAGTAATTTATCTCCTTGTGATAAGTTACGCCTTGGTTCAAGTTCGACGTCTATTGGATTAAAATAGTCAACTTGACTAGTATCTAATGCTTTAATACATGCTTGGCCATCATGGCTATTATTTTTGCGCTCTTTGAGTATTTTTAACCAAGATCTATTAAATCAGGACAGTAACGATATTGTTTTTATAGAAAATTTAATCATCACAATTTCATGCTTATATTCGAAACAATATCATTTAGGGTATGTTACCTGACAGGGAATTGTAACTTTTGCTCGTCGGTATCTCCGTTACCGCATTTTTCCTTATGTGATGTCCCGTATAACGTTTCATCTGTAGAAAGACAAATATCAACACTTGCTTATCAGATAAAGAGTCAGTATGTCTTAATATTAAACTATGATTTGATTAATGATTACAAACCTGCTATTGCATCTTGGCGTAATACTAAATAACCCCAACCATACTTTTTATCATAATATACAGGATTATTGTTGTAAGCTAAACGTAGTAGTAAAGGTACGATACGTTTAGTTGGGCTGATGTTGACAGGTGAAGATCTCCATTTAGAATTTAGTTCTGATTTGATATATAATGGAGGGCATAAATCTGCGTACCAACTAGGGATACGATAACAATGTTAACATTTGGTACACAATGTAGTGCCATTTACAGTATTAACTTTAAGCTTACTCTGGGTAGCCACTTTTTTGCGATCCCCTTTTCGCATGCAATCTTTCTTTCTGTAACTTTAGTCGTTCCTCCAGTATTTTATCATCAATATTTTCTGTTAACTCTCCCGTTATAGTTTTTAGTAGTTTTTTTGAAATATTAGATAAACTCTTTAAACTGTTACGTTTAATATTCCAGTTTAAGCTCCATAGCCAAGGATCATCGCGGAATCTAGTAGTATGAGAGATTAAGACATTTTTATTACTAATATTTAAGTTAAAGTACATATTTACAGGCATGAATCATTTGCGATATAAAGTTAGTATCGATATTACAAGTAGTTGATACCACATAAAGATCAAAAAGTAATAACTAGACGATATTTAAAATTTGAAGGTTATCATCAATCCTTTGGAGTCCAATTTTTTATTGGAGAATGAGTGCAATTCTATAGAAAGGTATATCATCGTCTCTTCTTTTAAACAAATTCCAACATTTTTAAACATATGCCGTTACAAATTAAATATACACGTACAGAACTTGTACAATCCAAGCTATTTATAAAAAGCTACAGTCTCTGCATGTTCAGTAGCTTACCTATCGTTCCGGAGTAAATGACAAGCATCATCAGCTAAATGTTTCAACAGCGTATTCAATTCGTTTTCTAAGTCCTGATAGGTATATTCGACAGTATTCAAATAGTATTGCCAACTTTCATCTACCGGTAAAAATATCGAACTCATTTCCAGCATGCCAGCAAATGAGACTGGATGCGGACATCGTAGGAGGAATAGTTTGTAGACATTTTTTAATACAACGTGTGTAGCATAGACGTCAGTTGCACAATATTCCATCAAAGTCTACAGTACGAATACGAATTGACAATTTTATTGAACGTTGAATGAAATTTATTAAAATGATGAAAACTAGTGAATATACCACAGCGCTAACATGAACATAACCAGAAAGTTTTACCTGAAAATTATCTTTGATATCTCTCATGCTTCCTTTAATAAGAATGTCTACTGGCGATTTGTCTAACGTATTATTTGTATATAGAGTGTAAATATCAGCTAAACTACTAGGACAGCTAAGTTTTGCCCAAAATGCTTCTTTATTTGTGTCGCCGTTGGCATCATGATCGCCATTATTCATTTTCTTCCAGTTACCCCTTTGGATACTTGTTAATCCTCCAACACAATTATGTAAGCTCATTGTGTCGAGGAATACTGTATTACCAGACTATAAGAGCATTGATTATCAGAAATATTGTTGTATACTCTAGTTTTACAACTTTCTCTATTCGTCGTTTCTATTTTTTGCTACGATATTAATTTAAAAGAAGTAATGTTCTACTTTATTAATATTAATATTAAAAATGCATGTTACATAAATTAATTTATCGATAGCATTATTTATTGACAGCATAAGGTGTATGCATAGTCACACGTACCTCAATATTGTACTGTTCACGAATATAAGATCTATCGTAGCCAATATTATGTCCAACAATTAATTTTTTCAGATGGTTCTTTTTCTGACTATTATGTCCCTTTTGATTCGCTTCCATGGGTATTAAATCTTTCAAAGTATTATCGTGCTTCCAGCCTAGTCTTAAGTCATCAAGAATTAAATGATGACTAACCCAAGAGTACCAATGAGTTGGTGATACAGCCGTGGCCATAACAGGTATTCTACCGTTCATTACTGAAGTTTCTACATCAAATACTAGGGCTTCCTCATCTGCATGGAGTAGACAGATAGATAGTTACTGCATGATAACCTTTATTACTTATAGGATAGATTTAGGTTGATATAAAGAATAAGGAGCAAAGACTAATAGAAGATTAAAGCTCGGACACTTGGTGATGCATTACTGAATAAAACAGTATCACTTAGAAGCAGTTTATGAAAGCCAATTAATCTGCTTACTGCTTTAGTATAGCTCGAATACTGTAGCTACTTATGTTGATTAGTGTAGCTGGAGATGGCAAGAAATACAACTCTACCTACCAGGGAATTCAACGCTTGTTGCTTGATTACCATCATACCGGGTCCAACCAGGTCGGCATTCCCAAGTTAACGGTTTAGACGGCAACGTAGCGTCAATTAATCGATCGATTAATATCTTATAATGGGCAATTTGCTGATTAGCAATGTACCGAAAATGTTCATCAATGTTAGAACCATGTAATTCGGGTAACTGAAAGGCGACGTCCTCTTGTTTTGAAGTTTGTTTATCGGCTAGGTCATGCTGCTGTAGATGATTCTTAATTTTTTCCAACAATTCGCCATCAATGTATTGATCGTGAGCATTGGAGGCATTTTGATCATTACCACGACGAAATATTTGCCGATGCAGCGTATCAGATAGCATTTGAATATTAATAGCATTGACACGATGTTCTCTATGTTGGCAGTAAAATCTTTTCCGTATGTATACAAAGGTCGGTGACCTTGCTGATTTGAAGATGGCTCTCCACATTGTCATTGTCTTTGCATGATTAGTAGCTATAATAGATGAGAATAGAATGGAAGCACGCGTATAAGATAATGATTTGCTGTCAACGGAGTGCATTCAAATTAGACATTGGGCAGTACGACTTGTATTTGGCATATCATTTTCAGTTTACGTATCTACTCTTGTGCAATTACTGTAGCACAAGGATAAACGATACTAATTTCCACGACAGTTGTCTGTATATACAGTAAGTTCTTAACGCTGTCAGGGATTATTGGAGCCACTAATTCATGTCATTGCTCGACAGTATAACGATAGTGATGTGAGAAATGTGTCCGCTAACAAGATGATGAGCTATTGGTGACTTGGCTTCATTATCACGCGTTACTCTGTTTGCAATCTAGTACAAAACAGCAATGGATAGAGGAGATTTCTATTGAAGGATCATTTTTCGGCTGACAATGTGTAACTAACTGTTTACGGTTAGTTTCGTTGATTCATACCAGGGTTAGTTATACTTCAAAGCACGGACTGGTAAGAAGTCCCTGCTCCAAGGTACATCTGGTGGAGATGGAGGTATAAACTACTGCATGGCTGCAGTCCAAAGTGGACTATCAGCTTTACGTGTGATAAACAGGTGGCTGTCAACATACGGTCTACACTAGTTTTACAGTCAAGGATCAGAGAAGGTGCAAAGGTTCCCTTTACGAAAAGCAAAAACAATTGATGAATGATAATCACAACAGAACATGATGGTTGGCAATAGCGATTGAACTGCCACATTGATGCCTTATTCTATTACAACTATCCATCTGCAACATAGCATGATGTTTACCTTTTGTAAGTGCGGTATGCATAAGATTGCGTTTACCGGATCGATTGCAATATCAATAGCACAATTTAATCGATTGAGCTAGGCAATCTAGAAAGGCTATGTTGCAGAGGCATTTTGCTAAAGCTGATTCTTTAATTTCCAATAGGCTACAATAGACGTTAATTAATATTGACCTTGCAGATTCTAGATCTAGACTCTAGAAGTGATTTAAAAGGTAGAGATGGACAAGTAGGCAAAGCGACGCTTAGCCTGCCAGGTCATGCTTCGATTGGATTACTGCTTTCATCCCTAGTGAGCGCTGCAAAAATTGTGGACTTGAAGTTACTGTTAATTCTATCTTGATTTATTATTAATACTTTAGTCAACGATAGGCGGTGCGTTGTAGCTGCTGGAGCACTTTCAAGAGTTGTCCAAATAGAGATGAACCTGGAAGAAGGAGCTATTTCATATTGAACCTTATGCTACAGTACCAAGTATCTTGTGCATCATCAGGCTAGAAATGATGCATCAACTTGATCGATTTTAGTGCTATATTGACTCTTTGTTGATTATTTTATTGTACCATCAATATCATCTAGGCTGTAGTATACATCTAAGTCTTACTATGGATAATCTAGTTCTGTAAGGACAGTCAATGCAATATGCAATGCTGACCTAATTTCTCCAACATTCTCCTGCCAGCCATTGCGGTAACCATGGTGCCAACGAAGCCTTCATAACACATTTACAGTACACAGTACGGTAGGGTATACCGTACTAAGCACTCGTAACGCGGACTTCCTCAATCCTAGACGATCCTGCAACACTCCTTGAGTAGTTGGCTGGCGTTTAATTTCAGCTCTAATTGTAGAATTCCTGGTTAATTAACGATAGAAGAGACTGTGTTTGTCCATAGACTGTTAGAAAATGGCATGGACTACTGAAAAAAGGTCTTGGATTCCTCAAAAAGACCTTTTTCCAGTATTGCATGGCTTGTCAGAGCAGGTATTTTAGTTGGATACAGTAGCAAGATGGCCAGTTAGCCATTGTAGATGCTAGATCACAGACTGTTTGCTTACTTTTGGGGGCCTATTTATCAAAGAGAACGATTGGTTCAAGTGGAACTAGCAAGCAGTGATGGCCATGGACTACTCCAAGGTCTTGAATACAATACAAGACATGGATACTACGTTTCAAGTTGTTGACAGAATCCATACTGTACTGTACTTGGTTTTGTGTCTACACTATTCATTATCATGATTTTAGGAGGATGTCAACAGGGCCAGTCGATAGCCTGCAATATAGGATATCACTGATGCTAAGCAGCACAACAAGCATGGACAACTAGAAATGACTACAGTAGTCATTTCCAGTAGTCCATGGCACAAGTCTCGAATCATCAAGGTTACAGTGTGCCCTTTTTTTATGTGATGAAATTAGTCGTGATAGAATGATCTCATGTTGGAAAAGTCTTCGTAATGTATCATTCAAGTCGATCACAATAACTAGTGGCTAGTGCCATAGAGATACTGTATACATTACGGTAGGAGCATTTTTCTAATAATGTTTGTATTAATTCATTATCAAAAACATGGAAAGTTGAGGAAATTCCCGTTTCTTCTATCTCTATGGGTAGTAGGTACAGTAGGTAGTACACTCATTCAATAAATAAGTACAGTAGCCATTTCTAGCAATCTAGTTCACAAGTCTTGAATCATCAAGGCTGCAGTGTGCCCTTTTATGTGTGATGAAATTAGTCATGGTAGAATGATCTCATGTCGGAAAAGTCTTGCATCATTCAAGCCGACCACAATGACTTATGGCATAGAAAGATACTGAATACAGTAGAAGCATTTTTCTTCCAGACATTACTATTTGTATCATCGAAACGATTGCTAGCGGAGGAAATTCCCGTTTCTTTTATCTCTATGGGTAGTACTAGGTAGTACACTCATTCAATAAATAAGTACAGTAGCCATTTCTAGCAATCTAGTTCACAAGTCTTGAATCATCAAGGCTGCAGTGGACACCTTTATGTGTGATGAAATTAGTCATGGTAGAATGATCTCACATTAGAAAAGTCTTGCATCATCCAAGCCGTCCACAATGACTCATGGTATAGAGATACTGAATACAGTAGAAGCATTATTCTTCAAGACATTACTATTTGTATCATCAAAACGATTGCTTGCGCAGGAAGACATTACTATTTGTATCATCAAAACGATTACTAGCGGAGGAAGACACAACTATTTGTATCATCAAAACGATTGCTAGCGGAGGAAATTCCCGTTTCTTCTACTCTTTCTTGATGAGGAAGTGCTAAGTTGTGAGTACAGTCTTGCCACTGTAGTCAAAGTACTGTACTCTCATGGATTACTATAGAGAGTCCAAATGCCCTACAGTATATTGTTCGGGTGTACGGTACGTTGGAGAGACTGTAGACTGTGGCGAGCACAAGACGGCACGCCGGCCTG